TTTAATTTATACTTAATATATTAATGAAAAGAGATTGTTTACATGAAAAATTAGAGCTAGAGAGGAACCTGTTTATGTGTGTACACAATAGTAAGAGTAATATTACAGATTTTCGATCGATACTGTCTAAAAATTCCGATAAATGCACAACACTAGAGTAAACTTACTACATGATTAAAACATACTCCCTACTAGCTGATATTAATTTATTTAACCACTTCTTTCTTAGAAAATAAATGGCTCATGTTCTTTGCCTTGGAAAAATAAATAAACAAAGCTTTGACAAATATAAGTTGATGTAAATAAACAAAGCTTTGGTAAATATAACTTGACATAGAAAAGCATGCAATCAATAGATTAAAAAATAAAATAAGAGACTACAACTTGATAGAAAAAGAAGGACAGTATTTCAATCAAACACAAGTAAATACTAAGTGAGTAATCTTGGAGAGACCAAACTTTCTGTAAAAGCAAACAGATTCTGAAGGATACCATGAGGCAATAATGTAAATGGACCTCTCTGTGTTCTATATGTGTTTTTCCCAGATTCACGATGTAAGCACCAGAATAACACTTCAGTAACTGCAAATCTATATTTTGGTGAAGCTATACATATACCAGGATCTACTATAGAAAATATTGTATACCAAGATTCCTCAATACCATAAACTTTCATCACCCATAACATAAAAGTGTGTTTCCCCTGAATATACACATTAGTATAAGCACACAACATTCCATCCAGTACTGAAATGCCAATATTAATGCTGCTCAAGCTTATTTTCTTTGGTAATGATATTTCTCCACACACTTCATGAGAAATATCAAATGAAACCACAAAATAATGTTTTTAAGTATCAACCCAATGAAATGAACCATGTAGAAATGCCAATGAATGCATACCATGCAGCATAGGGTAAATGTCACGAGGATGTTCAATAATTTTTCTCCAAAAGCCACTTTTCAGTGCGAGAACTTCACCAGGTACTTTGTTATGATCACTTACACCATTGGGAATTTGAAGGATTTTATAATCATTAATGGTCAAGTCAAAACACATTCCCAAACATGAAAATTCCTCCATTAGAAATTCTAGAGTGGGAAGAACAATCGATTCTCCGGCAGAGGGATTCCATAGAAAAAGTATTTAGCGTTCAACACTATTTTCATAAACCTTGATAATAACCAAACCGTCACAACAACAGTAGACTATGCAATGTTGTGGCTCAATATTTAATGGGCAATTCAGTTCCCGTACATTCTCTACTAGTTGAACCGATGATATCGAACAACAATAAATGGAAAATATAGACTTCTTAGGGCACATTTTGTAGAACAAATTTTTTTGTGAAACTTTTGTCCTTTTTGGCATGAGTGAGACTCTTCATATTAAAATACGAATCATCAATTAGTGTACCCCAAAATTTTGAAATACACTTGAATCGAAGAAGACACCTAACAGGTAACCTAGAGAGGATTTCCACAAGTATATTCTCTTCAGAGTAAACATTCATGACCTAGATAGACAAGAAAATTCTATCACACACCTTTAAGTATTGAAAAATTGTATAATTACAACCAAAAGTTTTAAAATAATAAACGAGAAAGCTTTTTAATTTATTTTATCTACTATTACCAAAAAAAATAGAGTATTAAAAAATTATAAAATTTTAACAAGAAAAAATTTAAGTCCTTTGGCAGTTGAAACATGAGAGAGAAACTAATAAGACAACTACTTTAAGAAATTCTAAATATTCAATGTTTCAATGAAGGCATAAACTGGTATAAGGATCATATATTTTTCACCTATCATTTTTTTGTAGCGTGACTTTAACATTTTTGTGGTTGAAACAATTAATGCTTGGAAGCGTTGCATTCTTGTTCTACTACAATTTACCCGTAGGTGTGTGTTTGGTATGAAAAAAATAATTAAATCTTAGGCTTGTATATTTATTTTATCCACTTTGTTTCACAATTATCATAGGTAAAAGGATTTAGTCCTTGCAAAATAAATGATGATGCTATTCTCTTTCACGGAATGATAGAACCTAAATAGAGAAAATACACATTTTATCCATAGAAATAGAGCACACATAGATATTAAGTCAAACCAACAACAAATTGAATAAATAAACTTTATTGGTAACATGTGAACTCACTTGTTCGTGATCAATAATATTCATCATTTTTTCTTGCTTTGATGGTTCCACAACTCTTGATCCTGAATTTACAAAATTGGATGAAATTGACTTAAGTTATCAAAAATAACAAACACATACATAAAATAGAAAGAAAAAAAAGCAAATACCTCTGAGAATTTAATTGAAAATATTGACTTGTTGTTCAGATGTTTATCTACCATCTTTATTTAATTTGAATGCTTGTTTGCCTTATTTATAAATTGGTTATAGTTATTTATGGAAGAAACATAAATACATTACCAATAAAAGAAATTTTCATAATCTACCTAATAGATACCGTCCATTAAAAAATAACACTATAGATTGCTTTCCATAAAACCATTATTCAATATCTAAATTTATATTATTTAATAAAATATATTTATCGATTATTTGATACAAATTAATCTTCTAGTCGTAACATGGTTATTCACTATCGAGTGTTTATATTATTAAAATATTGGATTTTCTTGTTCCATTTAGCAAGAACACATGTCATACAATGTCATATATTAAAATAATATATATTAAATGAATTGTTTTTTCATGGAACTCATAGTCAAAGGAAAAAATAATTTTGTCCATACTTTTTGTTTACAGTTTTATCTTTCCTTATAGTAAATTTATAATCATTTTGTTCAACCTAGTTATATAAGAGTTTGTTTATAATTAAGGTAGGCATGTATACACACACGATATAAATCACATTATGCATGTTCTAATAAAAAAAATTAAAATTATTTATATCTTGTATACTACACGGTATAAATTATATATAATAAATATTATTATATAATAAAATGAATAAATCACGTATGTTATTTGGATTATAAATACATTGTATTATTGATGTGTATTTGAAACACTCATTATTAGATAAGCTTGCAAGAAATTTATATAGCAGTTTTTGTTCTTTAAAAATAGAAGTCTATTCATTTCTTTTAAATGAACTACCTATTCGATAAATATGTAATTGGATAAGCATGCATTATGGTAACCTTGTAATTGAATAAGCTTGCAATTGGTTAAGATTGCAATTGGATAAGCTTACAATTAAATAACATCTAATAGGATGAGCTTGAAATTGAAGAAGATTAGAATCAAGTTGTCAACTTGTAAGTTTCTACACAGTAGCCTCTATTATCTAATAAATAGGAAGTAAATTCAATTTATTTGTACATTAAATTAAAATTGAATCATATATCATAAATCAAGTCCATTCAATTTGTAAGTTGAGGTCTTTATTTTATTACTTTTGCAATATACTATTTACCTGTGCTCTTCTTATGTTTCCATATATATTCTTCATTTTGGAAATATAGTAAGTAGTGTTTGATTACAAGATGATAAGAGATATTAGAGACTGAAGAAATGTTTCACTACGACGATAATATTAAGGAATAGGATATTCCAATTATGTTACAAAAAGAATAGTGTCATTCCATCTATACACGAGCTTCAAAGGATGTGATGAGTCAAAGATTTTGACTCATTTGAGGCCTTTTTAGTTCAACAATTAGTGTCCTTAATGCCTTTTTAAGTTAATATCTAATGATTTATTGTGTTTTGTAGTTATGAAGTCTCAAGGACAAAGGCAAGGATGAATCACACAAAAAGAGGCTAAAACAATGGAAAAAATAGCAAAATCGTAATATCGATTCTCGCCAAAAGGCACCCGGCGAATCACTGAATTTGCTAGATCTTGCCAAAAATGACAGTCTTTGGCTCAAATACTCAAGATAGGTTGGTGAGAAGAAGAGCTAAACGACGACTCACCAAACTCAATCGGTGAACTAACAAGTGCTCGCCGAAAGTTACAGTACATTTAACCCAAGTTTAAGGATAAAAAGGTGAGATTGGATGATAATCGGCGACTTGTAAAATATTAATGGTGAACTCCATCGAGCTCAACAACTATGGTTCAAACACCTGAAGCCCGAAACCAAGAAAGGCGAGAAGAAGAACAAGTCGGCAAAAATGACTTACATTGAAAACTAAGGAATTTAATGAAGCTTTTGCTAATTTGTGGGAACTATAATAGCCGAAAGGAAAAAAAATAAAAAAATTTGGCTCATAGAATGGGATCTGAAACTTTTCTGTACAGTATAGTAGAAAACTTCTATATTTTAGTTTGAGAAAAAACTTGTAACTCATAATTTTTAGGATTTTGGAAGTGGGTCTCTTTAATTGAAGTTGTTGGAGTTCTTTGACTGAACTTCAACTCTATAAACAAAAATAAAGGCTAGAACAAGAGAAGAAAATATTTTTTGGTGGAAAGATGATCGTTAATTGAACTGAAATACAGAAAAAATAAAATAACTAAAGCCTATATCTAAGCAACTACTTTGCACATGATTGCATGATAAACAAACACTTAAAAATAGCAATTTAACTCCTATAAAACAACAACTAACTTAAAATATTGAAGATGGCTAAAAAGTAGGAGAAAATCCAGCATCTTCTATTGACTAATTACTGCAGTAATTGAGGCAATTAATCAACACTCCTCCTTGCTTCAGTTGCTGCAAATTTCAAGTCTTTCTCGGAGAAATATGAATATGCTCCTTGGCAAGGCTTTGATAAAAATATCAAGATCTGTCTTGCAGTACTTTAACCCAACATATCCTTCTTTCTGCACGTTTCTGAAAAAGAATAATTTGATATTGAAATGCTAGGTTTTTCCATGAAAAAACTGGATTATTTGAGATAGCAATAGCTGCTTGATTATCCACAAACACCTCTGTGCAATTTTCTTGCTTTAAATTCATGTCAAGTAGCACTTTTCTAAGCCATAAGGCTTGATTGAAGCAGTTGTTGCTGCTATGAATTCAGCTTCAGCCATTGATTGTGCAACAATCTCTTGCTTCTTAGAACATCAAGAAAATACTCCTGAACAAAGATTAAAACAACAACCAGTTTCATGTCATCGGAAGAGCCACCCCAATCACTACTAGAATACCCCTGCAACACATACTTCTTATTCGCATAGAGCTTGATTCCAAAATTCAATGTTCCTTTAACATATCTTATCACCCTTTTAGCTGCTCTAAAATGAGTGTCAGCTGCACAATTACTAAATCTAGATAGAAGACTTACAACATATAAAATGTCGGATCTAGTTGCAGTAAGATACATGAGACAGCTAACCAAACTCCTGTAAAGAGTCTCATCCACATTTTCAGCTTCATCATTCTTACTCAACTTCTCCTTCAGACACATTGGAGTAGCTGTCTCTTTGCAATTTTCCATTTAGAACTTTATCAAAATGTCTTTTGCATACTTCTTTTGACAGATGAACACTTCATTTTGCTCTTGCTTGATTTCCATTCCCAGAAAATACACCATTTCTCTCAAATCTGTCATCTTAAAAGTATGTTGCATATCTTCTTTAAATTTCTTGACAAGTTCATTATTAATTCCAGTAACCAGTAGATCATATACATATAGTGAAATAACAATAAAATTAATATCATCGCCTTTAATGTAGAGAGTAGCTTCACTGAGGCATTTTCTACAGCCCAATTGAACCAAATGCTCATCAATCATACTGTACCAAGCTCTTGGTGTCTGCTTTAGTCCATATAAAGTTGTTTTGTGCTGATACACTTCATCTTCATGCCCTGTGACTGCGAATCCTTCAGGTTATTCAACATAAATTTCCTTCTCAAGAAAGCCATTCAAGAATATAGATGTAACATCCAACTGAAACACTTTCCAACAATTTTATGCAGCTATAGCCAACAATAATATGATGGTTTCTAATCTAGCAACAGGATCAAATGTATCAGAAAAATCAATACCAAAAAATTGAGAATACCCCTTTACAACTAGTCCTGATTTGTGTTTGTTGATAGAGCCATCTGCATTTTACTTGGTTCTGGAAATCCACTTCACTCCTATGACTTTCCTGTCTTCAGGTCTTTTCACAAGTTTCCATGTCTGATTCTTCTCAATCATGGTGAATTCCTCCTTCATTGCAACTCTCCATTTTGAATCTTTCTCTTCTTCCGAAAAATTTGTTGGCTCAAGAACAACCACATTGCATCTCCGATAGATATCAGAGAGAGATCATGTACCTCTTACCGGGATATCATCCACCAATTCATCTTCTTTCAGCTGAATGTACTTTGATCTGGAATGAATGTTGGTTCTACTTCTTTCCAGTTCCATTGTTCATCTTCCATGAAATACACATCTCTACTTATCAGGATTTTCCTTGTATGAGGTTGGAAAATCCTGTAAGCCTTAGAAACAGTGTTGTAACCCACAAATATTCCAGCTTCCGCCTTTTTATCCAACTTATTTCTTTTAGCCTGTGGCACATATGTAAAGCACAAACATCCAAACACTTTGAGATTTTTCAAAAAAGGTTTTTAAGAATTGGGTAATTGTAGATCCCCAAAATGTTGAGGCAATTAAGAATTAGGTATGGCCTAACTCGGTGACAGAAGTTAGGAGTTTCGTGAGACTTGCTAGCTACTACTGCAGGTTTGTGAAGAACATTGCTTTTATCGTTGTACATTTGACCAGGTTAAGTAAATGGAGTACAAGATGCCACTATCGATGCAGATGGTGTTCTTACTTTTAGGGAAAGGATTTGCGTTCCTCTTCTTGGTGACTTGATCCAGAGTGTGTTGGAAGAGTCTCATGGTTCACGGTATTCCATTTATCCATGTGTAACTAAGATTATACGGATTTGAGGCTACTTTATTAGTGGCCTAGGTTTAGGTTTAGGTACCCTATATTTGTTTAACTTTGGATTCGGAGCATTGGAAGAACCTTGACCGGAAAACTTTTATCGGAACTTAGAACAACCATGTCCATCGGACCTTGAATGTGAATAGTAACCATCACCAGGCTTTGCCCTCTTTGTCTCTCTAAACTTTTTCTTAACTTTCTTCTCTTCAATTTGATGAGCATGAATCATTAGATGAGAAGTGCTCATTTCCTTAATGATTATGCTGGTATGACGCTCCTTAACCACCAATTCAGACACACCCAAAATGAACTTGTTCATCCTTCGCCCTAGAGTCGGCAACCATAGTAGGACCATACTTACATAATTGTGTGAACTTCAAGGTATACTCCGTCACACTCATAATCACTTGACGAAGGTTAATGAATTAAAGTACCTTTGACTCCCTAATCTAAAAGGTAAAGAATCTATCAAGGAAATCAACCTTAAGTTTTTCCCAATCAAGAGGACCCACATCAACCACTCTATCTTCCTTCTATTAGTTGAACCAAACTTGAGCAACACCCTTATGTTGATAAGCGGTCGATTTTGCCATTTCAACCGACGTATGCTAGAAAGACCAGATTATGAAAAATCAGAAGTTGCAAGTGCTACCAATGGGGACCACCCACAGACCGTAGGTGGGGATCGTGGTTCGCCACCTGTAGCCCTCCCCAGAAACCCAAATAAACTCAACCAAGGGTCGACCCTTGCCAGGACCCACGAACCGTAGGTGGGACCATAATGGTCGAGGGCCATGGTTCAGGCCCCCAACTTTTAGCTCCCAGACGCCAACTGACACCCTTCCAGGATGGACCGTCGGTTAGTCCATGGTCAGTCGGTGACTTTGGCAGATTTTATGTTAGGGTCATTTTGGTCTTTTGCCTATGTGTTGGACACCTAAACTACGTCAGTTAACCCCTAAACTACGTCGTTTTGGTCTGTTTTAGTCTAGTAACTTAATCAGACTTTACCTTAAGCAATTCATTCACCAAAAACTCAGAAAAAATTTAGAGAAAAAAGGAGAAAAGAGTCAACCTAGCCCTCTCCAAGAACGCAACAAGTTTCCTTCAGTTCCAGCCCAGAAATCGAAATATTTCTTCGTGGAATTCGTCACCAGGTATATGGGATTTCACCGGTGGATTCCTTTCATCCATTAGGTCCCTAGATTTTAGTCAGAATCTTGATTTCCTAAATATTGCTTAGACCTAATGTTTCTAGAACTTCAGATAATTGTTGTGATTTAGCTGTTAGAATACTCCAAATCAGATTATCATGATTTTGTAACAATGTTGCTTTGTTTCTTCCATCAAATTAAGAACCCTATATGTGTTGATTTGTTTAATTCATGAATTACACTTTGCTAGGCTAGTTTATACAAATATACATGCATTAGTTTTTAAATGTTTCATTATCAGTACTTAATGTTACATTTTCAGTACTTAATGTTACATTTTTCAGTTAGCATGTCAGAATGTCAAGCTATCCATTTATTTCAGTTATGTTATTTTTTATACATAATATTAGGAGTAGGCTTAATACCGAGTTGGACTAGGGTCAGTGTAATGACCCATAAAATGAATAGGTGAGACTAGAGCCTAATGACTGTGTGTTTGAGTTGTTGTGGGGTTTCAAGTGGTAGAATGTTGCCCCGAGCTTAGGTTAAGGTGTTTAGGAGTTAAATGTCAAGGTACGACTTCTCAAGGACCACCCTAGGGGTCCTTGAGGAGGACCCTAAAGCCTAACCCCCAAAACCCCAAGAAACCAAAAATTTGTCCAAGTATAATGACCTACAGATGGGGACCTACACCCCGTAAGTCCATCCACATCCCGTAGATGGCCTCCGTAGGTCAAGGCCGCCAAAACCAAGTTGCATCCATGATCCACAAAGTGACAGCATGGTCCGTGACCCCACCCACGGTCCGTGGGTGGGGTCTGTAGGTCAGGCCTGGAAATGTTGTTTGGGTTCGGCCAAGTATAGGTTGTTTTGGTAAAATCCCCTTATAGTTGGTTGAGTAATTGGACGGTTTTTATTGGTTTATTACGATATTTTAAGGGTTTATAAAGTATTAAAACACAATGTCAACTCATTATTTCAAAACCCAAAATACAAACCTCCCCTCCCCTCCAAAAGTTCTCTCTCTAGAAACCTCGATTGGAGGTGAAGGATTCAAGCTCTCAAGGTCAAGTCTTCATCTTTTTCAAGCAATTTTGGTGGATTTATTCCCTAAAATGTATGGTAGTCTTCATCCTTGACTTAGTTTCTTTCAAGGATCCAATTTCAAAAGTGATTTCAAGTCTCCAATGTTTCCCCAAACACCCTAGTTTTTAATCTTGGCATGGGTTCGAATCCAAACGATTTTCAAAGGTTTTATTGCATTGAATTATGAATGAGTTATGGATTTAAGGATTAATTAAGATGATTTCTTCCTTGAACCCAGGTTTTTACCAAATTCTTATGTTGTGAATTGTGAATGGGAATTGATTGATCTTGAAAGTATGTTGAATTGTTTATATTTATATTGAAATAGTGATTGAAGCATGTCAATGTCCTTATCTATTGTAGTATCTTCGATTTATGGATTGACGTTGGTTCATCGTCTTGAAATGAAAGTTCATGAAGTATTATGTACGATTATGATGTGAGGTATATGTGTGTGATCTCAATGAAAGTGTTATGATGATGTTTAGAATGTAATTGTGTTATTATTGAATGTTATTTCTCAATTAACACCTATGAATGATGAGGTTATATGTGAAAGGTTATTCTCACATACGCACACTCATGAATGACTAATGAATGAAGTTTCTATGATTATGTTAATGATGATGGGTTGATTGAAATGCTATTCTCAATTGTACTCTAATGAATGATAATGACAAGTTGTGAAGGGACTTTCTCACTATATGGGATTCTTAGTTGAGAGGATCTTCTCATCTTTGAATCTATGAGTTATCCAATGAATGAATGATAGGTTTGAGATGGATGCCCTCATGTGTGGCAGGGTATCCAGTACCAATCTCTTATCCCATAATAATGAACTAATGTAATGAACGTCAAGTACTCCGTGAGGAAAAATGCTAAGAACCAAGTGGATATGGATTGAGATGGATGCCCTCACGTGAGTTGAGACGGGGTATCTATTAGCAATCTCCATATCCCGTAAGTATGTGCCCACATAGGATATTAGCTAGTGGATCCACCTAAGCTAAAAAGTAATTGTCCTACCTTAGGCAAGTAAGAATCCCTTATCTGGTGATGGTGACACTGGTATTCCATAAATTGCTCACATGGTCTATGCCGATTAAGGCTTACCCCTAAAAAGAATGTTAATGAACTATGGATTCTCAAGGATATACTATTAAGTATGGGTGGTAGTATGGGATGCCATCTATGCATTGCACAAGTAGACTTTGAGGGTAGTAATGGTATGTTCCTTTATAATGTTAAATGAATGAATGTTCTCTTATGTTGATGTTAATGGAGAATGTTGATCTAATGTCCAATGAATGAAGGTGTTCTTAATGAAGCTAATGACAAATGTTTACTTATATGCTTAAATGAGATGATGTATGCTATACTTTGATTGTACTATGGGTTACTTCCTTGTCATGAATTATTGTTTATGAATCTGCCTTTTCTAGGGTGGGTTTAAAGGAGTACTTAGTGTGATTAGTAGTATGAAATGCTACTCATACATTGCACAAGTATGACTTAGGGTTGTCCTAGATGTTGGTCCTAATGTGATGATATGACTTATGAAATGTTTATGTCTCTTATGTATGAGTATTGTGTGAAGATGGAAAGGTTAAATGGTAAGATCACTTTTGGTGACCTTAATGTGGTACTTAGTGTGGATGGTGGTATCAGACGCTATCCATACATTGCACAAAGTATAGCTTGAGGGTTACTTGAGGTGAATGCTTAATGTGAAGGTAATGGTTTATATGTTAATTATGTCTCTAATGTGATGAAATGACTTGTATGCTGGTTATGTTTGTATATTATGCCTCTTACGCTTATGTTCATGAAGTTTTCTCAAAATGGCATATATCATGACTTTCAAATAAAATATCCATTTTAAGCATGTGTTTGCATGGCTATCATACTCAGTACTTAATTGTGCTAACCCATATTTTCTTTACCTTTATGAAGTGTAGGGATTGGTACTCAATTTGATTCTCACTAGTTGAAGCTTGGACTTGAGATTCTTCCAAGGCAAAGTGATATGTCCTCATAGATCGAGGACAATAGTTTAGATGTTTCTTTTCTTTCATGTAATAGACAATTGTTGGTCTTTTGATTTTAAAGGACCGTGTCCCTATTTTAGTTTTAAGATGTTGTTTTAGATGGCCATGTGAGACGATAGACTTCCGCTATTTTTGAATGTTTTAAATGAGTATTTTGATTGTATGGTTTTAAAGAAAGTTTTACTTCCACACCATTTTCCCTATATCTAATGTTATGAATGATATGAGGATTGTATGAGACTTTTCGGAGTCTTATAGACCATGTCACTTCAGGGGTGTAGGCTCGGGTCGTGACAAACATGATATCAGAGGACAAAATTTTGGAATGGTTTTTAGTATTGATGTCTCAGAAGCCACGTCTTGTAGAGTCTTGTTCATCGGTGCTAGTCGTGACACATCTATGAGCGAGAGGCTTTAGGACGTTGGGAAGTTACACTTCTTTAATTATTCTTAAAGTCGTGCCTTAGAGCTTAGCTCTATAAGTGTCCTTTTCCTAACTCTTCTCTTGTGATTATAGGAGATGAATACAAGGGTTAACCCTAGAAGGATGGAAGATGAGAATGTGAATGAGGGAGTTCCTCCCCAAGTTCCTCAAGGTGGCCAAGTTCCTCAAGGCAGTCAAGTTTCGGTGGATCCCCCGGCCATGACTAATGAAGAAATTAGGTCGGCTTTTCTAAACTTAGCCCAATCCATGACGGCCTAAGCTAAGAGGGAGGTTAGACCTAGAGTGAATGCTAATGAGAGTACTATGGCTTTGAGATTGAGGGAATTTTCTAAGATGAATCCTCCCGAGTTTCTAGGTTCCAAAGTTGAAGAAGATTCCCAAAGGTTTGTTGATGAGGTTTGCAAGACACTTAGTTCTATGGGGGTATCTTCGTAGAAGAAGGCGGAGCTAGCCACCTACTAACTAAAAGATGTAGCTCAAATTTGGTATGAATAATGCAAGTGTGAGAGCCCAAGAGGAGCGGGTCCCGTAAATTAGGAGGTGTTCAAAGAAGAATTCCTTGATAGGTTTTTCCCCTTAGAGTTAGGGGAACAAAAATAGGTAGAGTTCATGAAACTTTGTCAAGTGGGTATGAGTGTGAAGGAGTATTCTCTTAAGTTCACCCAACTATCCAAATATGCTCCAACTTTAGTGTCAAACTCGAGGGCTAGAATGAATAAGTTTGTGATGGGAGTGTCCGATTTGGTGGAGGAAGAATGTCGTACGGCAATGCTCCACCATGATATGGATATTTCATGGCTCATGGTATATGCTCAACAAATTGAGGAGACAAAACTTAAAAAAATGAATAAGGTGGCAAAAAGGGGTAGGCCCGATGAACAAGGTCAACCAAGGTCCAAAAAGAGGTTCTACAACAAAGATTCCCCAATGGTCAACAATGATAGGGTGTCTAGACCTAATTCCCAAGAAGGAAAAGGAAATGGCTCTTCGTTTGAAAGATCAAAATGTGCCAAGTGTGGGAAGCAACATTTAGGTAAGTGTCTTACCGGCACGGATGGTTGCTTTGGGTGTCGAAAGAAGGGTCATTAGATGAGAGATTTCCCAACACTCATGGAAAAAGAGAGAGAGACCAACCAAGCTTCTCATGATGGCCCTGATCCTAATGCTCCAAAGAAAAATCATCTATATGTGCTTCAAGCTAACAAGGACAAAGGATCTAATTCAGATGAAGGCACCGGTAAGTGGTAGTTCATTATAGTTGTGAATGTTGTGATGAGGTCCTTTTGTTGTTTTCATGTTAGCCTTAGTTTCATTTACTCCTAAGTGGGGGATAGTTTGTTGAATAGTAAGGTTGTTGAGAGTTTTGATATCGTTATCTCTTCCCTTCTTTTCTTATTCAAGCTTGACAGCAATAGTTCCTTGTAGCTTATTTCATGTTTTGGAGTCATAAGTGATTATTTGTATCCATGGTCTCTTTATGTTATGCATGTTCTTGATAAGTTTATGTTTAAATGAGAAATAGAATTTTCATGAATTATGTTTCTCATGTTGATATGCATTTAGTATGAGTTGCCTAAATGCTTCATGAGGTGAATTATTGAACATGCCTAAATGTCCTTTTAAGAGAAAATTCATAATGTGCTTAATAATGTTATGATGAGCATGATTTGAGCTGGAGAAGGTAATTCCTCCAACAAAATGAAAAATGTTGAAGTTATGAAGCATAATGAGTTTGTAGATGTAGTTCTTACCTTTTTTGTGTTTCATTAAGCTTATTGATGTGGAGTTGATGTTTCCTCCTAGCTTTGTGCATTTGTTTAAGATGTTGCATGCATGATGGGATGCTAATCTTGAGTCATTGACCCCTTAATGCGTTTAAAGTGTCATTAGAAGATGAATGTTCCCAAGTGGGGTATCATGTAAGAACCCTTAAAATGAATAGGTGAGACTAGAGCCTAACGGTTGTGTGTTTGAGTTGTTGTGGGGTTTCAAATGTTAGAATGTTCTCCCGAGCTTAGATTGAGGGGTTTAGGGGTTAAACGTCAATGTACGACTCCTGAAGGACCACCCTGGGGGTCCTCCTGAAGGACCACCCTGGGGGTCCTCCTGAAGGACCACCCTGGGGGTCCTCCTGAAGGACCACCCTGGGGGTCCTCCTGAAGGACCACCCTGGGGGTCCTCCTGAAGGACCACCCTGGGGGTCCTCCTGAAGGACCACCCTGGGGGTCCTCCTGAAGGACCACCCTGGGGGTCCTCCTGAAGGACCACCCTGGGGGTCCTCCTGAAGGACCACCCTGGGGGTCCTCCTGAAGGACCACCCTGGGGGTCCTCCTGAAGGACCACCCTGGGGGTCCTCCTGAAGGACCACCCTGGGGGTCCTCCTGAAGGACCACCCTGGGGGTCCTCCTGAAGGACCACCCTGGGGGTCCTCCTGAAGGACCACCCTGGGGGTCCTCCTGAAGGACCACCCTGGGGGTCCTCCTGAAGGACCACCCTGGGGGTCCTCCTGAAGGACCACCCTGGGGGTCCTCCTGAAGGACCACCCTGGGGGTCCTCCTGAAGGACCACCCTGGGGGTCCTCCTGAAGGACCACCCTGGGGGTCCTCCTGAAGGACCACCCTGGGGGTCCTCCTGAAGGACCACCCTGGGGGTCCTCCTGAAGGACCACCCTGGGGGTCCTCCTGAAGGACCACCCTGGGGGTCCTCCTGAAGGACCACCCTGGGGGTCCTCCTGAAGGACCACCCTGGGGGTCCTCCTGAAGGACCACCCTGGGGGTCCTCCTGAAGGACCACCCTGGGGGTCCTCCTGAAGGACCACCCTGGGGGTCCTCCTGAAGGACCACCCTGGGGGTCCTCCTGAAGGACCACCCTGGGGGTCCTCCTGAAGGACCACCCTGGGGGTCCTCCTGAAGGACCACCCTGGGGGTCCTCCTGAAGGACCACCCTGGGGGTCCTCCTGAAGGACCACCCTGGGGGTCCTCCTGAAGGACCACCCTGGGGGTCCTCCTGAAGGACCACCCTGGGGGTCCTCCTGAAGGACCACCCTGGGGGTCCTCCTGAAGGACCACCCTGGGGGTCCTCCTGAAGGACCACCCTGGGGGTCCTCCTGAAGGACCACCCTGGGGGTCCTCCTGAAGGACCACCCTGGGGGTCCTCCTGAAGGACCACCCTGGGGGTCCTCCTGAAGGACCACCCTGGGGGTCCTCCTGAAGGACCACCCTGGGGGTCCTCCTGAAGGACCACCCTGGGGGTCCTCCTGAAGGACCACCCTGGGGGTCCTCCTGAAGGACCACCCTGGGGGTCCTCCTGAAGGACAAAGCTTAACCCCCTAGACCCCAAGAAACCAAAAATCTTCCCAAGTGCGGCAACCTACGAATGGGGACCTACGCACCGTAGGTCCATCCACGCCCCATGGATGGCCTCTGTAGGTCAAGGCCCCCAAAACCAAGTTGCAGCCATGATCCACGAAGTGACAGCACGGTCTGTGACCCCACCCACAGTCCGTGGGTGGGGGTCCGTAGGTCAGGCCTGCAAAAGTTGTTTGGGTTTAACCAAGTGGAAGGTGGTTTGGTAAAATCCACTTTTAGCTGGTTGAGTTATTGGATGGTTGTTCTTGGTTTATTACGATATTCTAAGGGTTTTTAAAGTATTAAAACACAATTTCAACTCATTATTTCAAAACCCATAATACAAACCTCCCCTCCTCTCCAAAAGGTCTCTCTCTAGAAACCTCCATTGGAGGTGAAGGATTCAAGCTCTCAAGGTCAAGTCTTCATCTTTTTCAAGCAATTTTAATGGATTTATTCCCTAAAACAGATGGTATTCTTCATCCTTGACTTAGTTTCTTTCAAAGAGCCACTTTCAAAAGTTATTTCAAGTCTCCAATGTTTCCCCAAACACCCTAGTTTTCAATCTTGGCATGGGTTCGAATCCAAACGATTTTCAAAGGCTTTATTGCATTGAATTATGAATGAATTATGGATTTAAGGATGAATTAAGATGATTTCTCCCTTGAACCCATGTTTTTACCAAATTCTTAAGTTGTGAATTGTGAATGGAAATTGATTGATCTTGAAAGTATGTTGAATTGTTTATATTTATATTGAATTAGTGATTGAAGCATGTCAATGTCCTTATATATTTTAGTATCTTAGATTTATGGATTGATGTTGGTTCATAGTCTTGAAAGGAAAGTTCATGAAGGATTATGTATGACTATGATGTGAGGTATATGTGTGTGATCTCAATGAAAGTGTTATGATGATGTTTATAATGTAATTGTGTTATGATTGAATGTTATTTCTCAATTAACACCTATGAATGATGAGGTTATATGTCAAAGGTTGTTCTCACATACACACACTCATGAATGACTATTGAATGAAGTTTCTATGATTATGTTAATGATGATGGGTTAATTGAAAGGCTATTCTCAATTTTTCATCTAATGAATGATAATGACATGTTGTGATAGGACTTTCTCACAATATGGGATTGTTAGTTGAAAGGATGTTCTTATCTTTGAATCTATGAGTTATCCAATGAATGAATGATGGGTTTGAGATGGATTCCCTCATCTGAGTTGAGGCGGGGTATCTAGTAGCAATCTCTTATCCCATAATAATGAACTAATGTAATGAATGTCAATTACTCTGTCGGGAATAATACTAAACACCAAGTGGATATGGATTAAAATGGATGCCCTCACGTAAGTTGATGCGGGTTATCTATTGTCAATCTCCCTATCCCATAACTATGTGCCCATATAGGATATTAGCCAGTGAATCCACCTAAGCTTAAAAGTAATGGTCCTAGCTTAGGCAAGTAAGAATCCCTTTTCCGATGAGGGTGACACTGGGATTCCATGAATTGCTCACATGGTTTATGTCGGTTAAGGCTTACCCCCACAAAGAATGTTAATGAACTATGGCTTCTCAATAATGTACTATTTAGTATGGCTAGTAGTGTGGGATGCCATCTATGCATTCCACAAGTAGACTTTTTTAGAGTAGTCATAGTGTGTTCCTTTATAATGTTAAATGAATGTGCTCTTATGTTGATGTTAATGGAGAATGTTGATCTAATGTCTAATGAATGAAGGCATTCTTAATGAAGCTAATGACAAATGTTTACTTATATGCTTAAATGAAAATATGTATGCTATACTTTGATTGTACTATGAGTTACTTCACTATCATGAATTATTGTGTATGAATGTGCCTTTTCTAGGGTGACTTCAAAGGAGTACTTAGTGTGAGTAGTAGTATGGGATGCTACTCATACATTGAACAAGTATGACTTAGGGTTGTCCTAGATATTGGTCCTAATGTGATGATATGACTTATGAAATGTTTATGTCTCTTATGTATGAGTATTGTGTGAAGATGGAAAGATTGAATGGTAAGGTCACTTTAGGTGACCTTAATGTGGTACTTACTGTGGATGGTGGTATGGGACGTTTTACATACATTGCACAAAGTATAGCTTGAGGATTACTTGAGGTGAAGGCTTAATGTGAAGGTAATGGTTTATAAGTTGATTATGTCTCTAATGTAATCAAATGACTTGTATGTTGGTTATGTTTGTATATTATGTCTCTTATCCTTATGTTCATGAAGATTTCTCAAAATGGCATATATCATGACTTTCAAATAAAATGTCTGTTTTAACCATGTGTTTGCATGGCTATCATATTTAGTACTTAATTGTGCTAACCCATGTTTTCTTTACCTTGATGAAGTGTAGGGATTGGTACTCGATTTGATTCTCTCTAGTGTAAGCTATGACTTGAGATTCTTCCAAGGCAAAGTGGAATGTCGTCATAGATCAAGGACAATTGTTTAGATGTTTCTTTTCTTTCTTGTAATAGAAAATTGTTAGTCTTTTGATTGTAAAGGGCCGTGTCCCTATTTTAGTTTCAAGATGTTGTTTTAGATGGCCAAGAGAGACGATAGACTTCCATTATTTTCGAATGTTTTAAATGAGTATTTTGATTGTATGGTTTTAAATAAAGTGTTAATTCCATACCATTTTTCTTATATCGATTGTTATGAATGCTATGAGGCTTGTATGAGACTTTTCAGAGTCTTATAGACCATGTCACTTATGGGGTGTAGGCTCGGGTCGTGACAAATATGGTATTAGAGCACAAGATTTTTGAATGGTTATTAGGATTGATGGCTCACAAGCCACGTCTAGTAGAGTCTTGTTAATCGGTGTGAGTCGCGACACATCTTTGAGCGAGAGGCTATAGGACGTTAGGAAGTTACACTTCTTTTATTATTCTTGAAGTTGTGCCTTAGAGCTTAGCTCTATAAGTGTCCTTTTACTAACCCTTCTCTTATGTTTATAGGAGATGAATACAAGGGCTAACCCTAGAAGGATGGAAGAGGAGAATGTGAATGAGGGAGTTCCTCCCCAAGGTCCTCAAGGTGGCCAAGTTTCTCAAGGCAGTCAAGTTCCGGTGGATCCCCCGGCTATGACCAATGAAGAAATTAGGTTGGCTTTTCTAATTTAGCCCAAGCTATGATGGCCCAAGCTAATAGGGAGGTTGGACCTCGAGTGAATGCCAATGAGAGTACTATGGCTTCGAGATTGAGGGATTTTTCTAGGATGAATCCTCTCAATTTTCTAGGTTCCAAAGTAGAAGAAGATCCCCAAAAGTTTGTTGATGAGGTTTGCAAGATACTTAGTGCTATGGGGGTGTCTTCAGAGACGAAGGTGGAGCTAGCCGCCTACCAACTAAAAGATGTAGCTCAAATTTGGTATGAATAATAGAAGGGCAAGAGGCCAAGATGAGCGGTACCTATATATTGGGAGGTGTTCAAAGACGCATTCCTTGATAGGTTTTTCCCCTTAGAGTTGAGGGAACAAAAATAGGTAGAGTTCTTGAACCTTTGTCAAGGTGGTATGAGTGTGAAGGAGTATTCTCTTAAGTTCACCCAACTATCCAAATATGTTCTAACCTTAGTGTCAAACACGAGGGCTAGAATGAATAAATTTGTGATGGGAGTGTCTGGTTCGGTGGAGGAAGAATGTCGTACGATAGTGCTCAATCATGACATGGATATTTCAAGGCTCATTGTATATGCTCAACAAATTGAGGAGACGAAACTTAAGAAAATAAATAAGGAGGCAAAAAGGGCTAGGCCTGATGAAAAAGGTCAACCAAGTTCCAAAAAGAGGTTCTACAACCAAGATTCCCCAATGGTCAACAACGATAGGTTGTCTAACCCTTATTCCCAAGGAGGAAAAGGAAGTGACTCTTCTTTTGAAAGATCTATATGTGCCAAGTGTGGGAAGCAACATTTGGGTAAGTGTCTTGCTGGCACGGATGGTTGCTTTGGGTGGGGAAAGAAGGGTCATAAGATGAGAGATTTCCCAACACTCATGGCAAAAGAAAAAGAGACCAACCAAGCTTCTCATGATGGCCCAGATCCTAATACTCTAAAGAAAAATAGTTTCTATGTGCTTCAAGCTAACAAGAACAAATTAGCTAATTCAGATTAAGGCATCAGTAAGTGATAGTTCCTTATAGTTGTGAATGTTGTTTAGAGTTTCGATATCCTTATCTCTTTCCTTCTATTCATATTCAAGCTTGAGACCAAGAGTTCCTTGTAGCTTATTTCATATTTTGGAGTCATGAGTGATTATGTGTGTCCATAGTCTCCTTATATTATGCATGTTCTTGATGAGCTTATGTTTAAATGAGAAATTGAGTTTTCATGAATTATGTTCCTCATGTTGATTTGCATTTAGTATGAATTGTCTATATGTTTCATGAGGTGAATTGTGTAACATGCCTGATTGTGCTTTTAAGAGAAATTGCATATTGTGCTTAATGATGTTATGATGAGCATGATTTGAGTTGGAGAAGGTAATTCCTCCAATGAAATGAGAAATGTTGAAGTTAATGGGAATTGATTGATCATGAAAGTATGTTGAATTATTTATGTTTATATTGAATTAGTGATTGAAGCATGAAAATGTCCTTATCTATTGTAGTATCTTCGATTTATGGATTGATGTTGGTTCATAGTCTTGAAAGGCAAGTTCATGAAGGATTATGTATGATTATGATGTGAGGTATATGTGTGTAATCTCAATGAAAGTGTTATTTTCATGTTGAGAATGTAATTGTGTTATGATTGAATGTTATTTCTCAATTAACACCTACGAAAGATGAGGTTATATGTGAAAGGTTATTCTCACATACACACACTCATGAATGACTAATGAATGAATTTTTTATAATTATGTTAATGATGATGGTTGATTGAAAGGCTATTCTTAATTGTACGCTAATGAATGATAATGACATGTTATGAAAGGACTTTCTCATAATATGGGATTCTTAGTTGAAAGGCTATTCTCATCTTTGAATCTATGAGCTATCCAATGAATGAATGATGGG